AAAAATACGAAAAAATTGGCCGGGCGTGCGGTGAACTTACGCCTTGTCATCCCAGCACTTTGGAGACTGAGTATTTTTTTGTATTTTTTAGTAGAGACGGGGTTTCACTGTGTTAGCCAGGATGGTCTCGATCTCCTGACCTCGTGATCCGCCCGTCTTGGCCTCCCTAAGTGCTGGGATTACAGGCTTGAGCCACCGCGCCCAGCCTACATTCTTTAAATTAAAATTGTTGAAACGAAGAAATGGAAGTAATAGTAGTCGTGGTTTAAAAAAGGTACAGAATCAAGTCCAGCAGAGCTTAAAGGAAAAATAATTTTTTAAATAAAAAGGTATAGAAGTATATACATTGAAGAGTAAAAATTATTCCCTCTTTCCGTCTTTTTTTTGTGAGACGGGGTTTCATTCTTGTTGGCCAGACTGGAGTGCAATGGCATGATCTTGGCTCACTGCAACCTCAGCCTCCTGGGTTCAAGCAATTCTGCCTCAGCCTCCCGAGTAGCTGGGACTACAGGTGTGCACCACTACACCTGGATAATTTATTTATTTTATTTTATTATTATTTATTTGTTTATTTATTTATTTTTCTTTTTTATTTTATTTTTTGAGACAGAGTCTCGCTCTGTCGCCCAGGCTGGAGTGCAGTGGCACCATCTCGGCTCACTGCAAGCTCCACCTCCTGGGTTCACACCATTCTCCTGCCTCAGTCTCCTGAGTAGCTGGGACTACAGACGCCTACCACCATGCCTGGCTCATTTTTTTGTATTTTTAGTAGAGACGGGGTTTCACCATGTTAGCCAGAATGGTCTCCATCTCCTGACCTCATGATCTGCCTGTCACGGCCTCCCAAAGTGCGTGCAGTGGCCTAATCTCGGCTCACTGCAATTTCCACCTCCCAGGTTCAAGCTATTCTCCTGCCTCAGCCTCCCGAGTACCTGGGACTACAGGCACACAACACCACGCCCAGCTAATATTTGTAATTTTAGTAGAGATGGAGTTTCACCATGTTGGCCAGGCTGGTCTCGAACTCCTGACCTCAGTTTATCTGCCTTCCTTGGCTTCCCAAAATGCTGGGATTTTAGGCTTGATCCACCGCACCCGGCCTAATTTTGTATTTTTAGTAGAGGCGGTGTTTCACCATGTTGGCCTGGCTAGTCTTTTTTTTTTTTTTTTTTTTTGAGACGGAGTCTCGCTCTGCCGCCCGGGCTGGAGTGCAGTGGCCGAGCTGGAACTACAGGCGCCCGCCACCGCGCCTGGCTAGTTTTTTTTTTGTATTTTTTAGTAGAGATGGGGTTTCACCGTGTTAGCCAGGATGGTCTTGATCTCCTGACCTCGTGATCCGCCCGTCTCGGCCTCCCAAAGTGCTGGGATTACAGGCTTGAGCCACCGCGCCCGGCCGGCCTGGCTAGTCTTAAACTCCTGACCTCAGGTGATCTGCCGGCCTTGGCCTCCCAAAGTGATGGGATTACAGGCGTGAGCCACCACACCCAGCCTATTCTGTCTTCTTCAGGTGACTCACTCCTCACAGATAACCACTGTTGACAATTTTTGGTGTACTTGCAGAAATTCTTTTTGTATGTCTAAGTGCATGTTTAGCTTTTATTTTTTTAAAGAAGACAAAAATGGGATTGCCTAGTAATATGTATTGTGACACTTTCTATGTTATTACATAAAGATTTACCTCAGTCTGTTACAGTCTCTTGTATGGCTGCACCAACATTTAGTGAACTCCCTATTGATGGACACTTGAGTGGTTTCTTTTATGTACTTTTAAGGCTCAAATTTTAGAAAATGAATTGCTTTATAGGTCTGTTTTTGAAAAAATAAGCAGTATATATTAAGCATATTTTTCTAGTTTATTTTTTTGGGATGAGATCTCACTGTGTCACCCAGGCTGGAGTGCAGTGGCATGATTATAGTTCACTGCAGCCCTGGACTGCAGGTCTCACGTGGTCCTCCCACCTCAACCTCCCAAAGTGTTGAGATTACAGATGTGAGCCACCACGACTGACTGATAATATTCTTGAAATTAGCAAACCATTAAGACCAATCTGAAAAGTATCCTTTAATTGCCTTGTAATTGCTTCAGTCAGTATTAGATGAGTCTTTTTTAAAAAGATGTCTTTATAATTTTCTGCATTAGATGAGTCTTTTTAAAAAAAAGTCTTTATAATTTTCTGCTAGTCATTCTATGACAGTCTTTCATCTTCCCTACTCTTTCAGCTGTTATTGAAAGATTGTTGGTAATTGTTTGGGGTATAGATTATAAAAATACTTTTTAATTTTTAGGAATAAGAAATTAGAAGATAATTACTGTGAAATTACTGGTGAGTATGACTAGAATACTTTTCTTACAGTAAGATAGTCTATTCATCTAGGTTCCTTGAGCCACTCTAGTAGTGGCTCCAAACAGAGCTTTGTTATTATTTTGGTTTTTTTTGAGACAGTGTTGCTATTATTGTCCAGGCTAGAGTGCAGTGGCGTAATCTCAGCTCGCTGCAACCTCCGCCTTCTGATTTCAAGCAATTCTCCTGCCTCAGCCTCCCAAGTTGCTGGGATTACAGGCATCCACCACCAAGCCCAGCTAATTTTTTTGTATTTTTATTAGAGACGGGGTTTCACCGTGTTGGTCAGGCTGGTCTCGAACTGCTGACCTCGTGATCCACCCGCCTTGGCCTCCGAAAGTGCTGGGATTACAGGCATGAGCCACCGTGCCCAGCCCAGGGATTTGTTGTTTACACAGTGTCTTCAGTTTAAAATTTCACAGACTCACTATTACTTCTTTTTTTTTTTTTTGAGACGAAGTTTCATTCTTATTGTCCAGGCTGGGGTGCAGTGGCACGATCTCAGCTCACTGCAGCCTCCACCCCCCAGGTTCAAGCAATTCTCCTGCCTCAGCCTCCTGAGTAGCTGGGATTACAGGCGCTCCACACTACACCCAGCAAATTTTTTTTTTTTTTTTTTTGAGACGGGCAGTCTCGCGCTGTGTCACCGACGGAGTGGCAGTGGCGCGATCTCGGCTCACTGCCGAAGCTCGCCCTCCCGTTACGCCATTTCCTGCTCAGCCCCGAGTAGCTGGGACTACGGGCGCCCGCCACACAGGCGCGGTAGTTTTGGTATTATTTTAGTAGAGACGGGGTTTCACATGTAGCCAGGATGGTTCTCGATGATCTGACCCTCGTATTCACCCGCCTCGGCCTCCCAAGAGTGCTGTGGATTCAGGTTTGCAGCACGCGCCCGGCGCCTTTTTTGTATTTTAAGTTAGAGACGGGCTTCTCCATGTGGCCAGGCTGGTCTCAAACTCCTGACCTCAGGTGATCCAGCCGCCTCAGCCTCCCAAAGTGCTGGGATTATAGGTGTGAGCCACTGCACCTGGCCGACTCACTATTATTTCTTTCAAACCTGCTGTTTCTCCTGTTTTCTCTGTCTTGGACTCCCGCTCGTTCAGTTATTCACTTAAGTCAGTAATCAAGAAGTCATTTTCAACTCTTCATTTATGTCTAATGTCCATTTGGCCTACTTTGTATTTTGTCTCCTAAATGTCTTGAAAATCTATTACCTATTCTGTATTCCTTCTGCCCCTGCTTTAACTCAAGTTGCTATTATTTTTTCTTGGGCTATTGTATTTCATTTCTTATCCTTCCAATCTATTCTCCATGTTTCTAAATTTAATTACGTTACCTCCCAGCTTAAAATGGTTCAATGACACTGTTTTGCTTAGAGAATAAAGCCCATACTCCTTAGCAGTGAGTTAGAATGTCCTTTATCACTTGGCCTGTCTTCTTCTCCAGACTTATCTCCTGCCCTTTATAGGTATCCTGTGCTCTAGTCCGTGATGAATTATTTGCAGTTCACTATATGAACTCTTTTTCTGCCTATATGCATTTATATTTCATTGTGTTTCATTTTATTTTTTTGAGATGGAGTCTCACTCTGTCATCCAGGCTGGAGTGAGGTGGTGCGATCTTGGCTCACTGCAACAAGCCTGCCTCAGCCTCCCAAGTAGCTGGGATTAGAGGCGCATGCCACCAGGCCCAGATAATTTTTGTATTTTTAGTAGAGACGGGTTTTCACCATGTTGGCCAGGCTGGTCTCAAACTCCTGACCTCAGATGATCCACCTGCCTCGGCCTCCAGGGTGCTTGGATTACTGGTGTGAGCCTGCACGCTCAGCCCCTATATGCATTTATTAATGCTATTTTGTCTATCTAAAGTGATCTTTCTACTCCAGTTTGCCTGTCAATCTTCTCATTTTTCACTTCACTTAGCTTAACTTCAGTGCTGTTCAAAGTGTCCATTCCACAAACTAACTGCTCAGTCCATGACAGAAAAGGAACTTGCACCATAATGTGCATTAACTGTGGCATTAAGCCACCGTTTAGTTTAGCTTACACTTTTTTTCTAGCAATTATTATTATATGATTTATGTTTGCCACCAGCTCTTTATCTCATTATGAATTGGTAACAATCAGTTCACAGTCTGGCACTGTACTTCAAGTAGCACTGGCTTAAATGGAACCCTCTCTGGCAAAACTAAGGAGTTAGTCGCATGTTCTGCGCTCCCATAACACCTCTTTTATTTCTCAGTGTATTTTATAATTTATCACATTGTATTTTAAGTATTTTTCTGACTGTCTTATTAAAGAGGCCAAAACTGTTTGTGGGGGGTAAGGGATACTCCTCCTTGAGGAGCAGGGCTACCCCATAGGCAGTGTGCTCAGAATAGCCTGAACTACCATCTCTGGGAGTCCAGAAATTTTGTCTTGTTCTTCTTTATACCTTAGTAGACAGTTGAGGTGTGTTTTTGTTTGTTTGTTTTGTTTTTTTCATGTAATAGGTTCTGAATCAACATTTGTTGAAAAAATGAATGGAAGCCTGACATATAAATAAGGCTTTTAGTAAAAAAAAGAAAAAAAAGCTTATAATTATTTCATTATATGTACTCAAAGTTGCTATAAATTATTTAATATGTTCTAAAGATTTGCCTTTAAACTTTAAATGTAAGTGTTTTTAAATGTATTTCCTGCTTTAATACAGCCTTTTGAATCCCTTCCTTATTTACAAAGTATAATTTGTAGTTCTAAAATAAGTCTTGAGTCTAATCCTTTATTTCCATTTTTGTTGCTCTTTTGGTCTAACATGACCTCTTACGTTAATCTGAACTGTTGTAGTAACTTCCTTATTGGTTTATCTTCTCTTGAATCTACTTCTTCTTATTACTTTTTACTATTTTTCTAAAATGCATTATATTTTATAATGGGATTATTTTTATAAAACACAAATGTCTTATCATGGGAACGTCTAGATTCCTTAACATAGAATAAAAGACCCTTCAGAATCCTACCCTAACCTTTCAGATTCATCACTTGATGTTCTTCTTCATGGGACTTCTACTATCCAGGAAATAAAAACAGAGAAGTCAATAATAATAATAATAAGTAGTAGTAGTCCAGACTTTCCATCTTTAAAATCACCACCACATTATAAAAATATTTCAGCCACACAGAGGATATAATAATTATTGGTCTCTCTGTCACTAACGTAGGACAATTAAAAGTCTTATGAAATTTAATATGTTCCCAACACAAAAGATAAATGTTTGAGGTGGTGGATATTCCAATTACCCTGATTTGATCATTACACAATGTATACAGATATCAAAATATCACGTAACACAAAAATATGTTCCACTGTTATATATCAATTTTTTAAAACTTTAAAAAAATTTAATACATAAGTTTTTAAGGGCTTAGTTACTGGTAAATTCTAGTAAATACTTGTAACTGATGAAGAACCTAAGAAAAGGAAAGTCAGGCTCGGTGATATATTTTCTGACTACAGTTTTTTCTTTTTTCTAAATAGGGATGAACACATTGCTTTCTGCTCCCATTCATACCCAGATGCAACAGAAGGAGGTAAGAGTTCATGCAAATACCTTCATATTTGGCATAATTTAGGGATGACTTAATAAAATGAATCAGCATAAACTGGAAAGGCTTCCTAGCTTTCCAATTAACTTAAGGGTAGTTAAGTCATTGCCAGTTTAAATAATGGGAGATACAGTATACCAGTACCTCTCAAAGTTTAAAGAGCATATGAGTCTTTATTTCTAACTATTTCTTGAGTGATACTAGTACACAAGTCCGTAGGCCATACTTTCAGTAGCAAGGAGTTAATCTGTGTCCTCACCAAAAAAAAAAAAAAAAAGTTGTAGCACAGAGTGTAAACTCTCTCTCTCTCTCTCTCTCTATATATAATATATATATATATTTTTTTTTTTTTTTTTTTGAGACAGAGTCTTGCTCTGTCCCCAGCGTGAGGCAATGGCGCGATCTCGGCTCACTGCCAAGCTCCGCCTCCTGGGTTTACGCCATTCTCCTGCCTCAGCTCCCGAGTACTGGGACTACAGGCGCCGCCACCATCGCCCGGCTAGTTTTTTGTGTTTTTATGTAGAGACGGGGTTTCAACCCGTGTTAGCCAGGATGGTCTCGATCTCCTGACCTTGTGATCCGCCCGCCTCGGCCTCCCAAAGTGCTGGGATTACAGGCTTGAGCCACCGCGCCCGGCATATATATATTTTTTTAAGCTATCTCCTACAAGAAGGTGGCACAATCTTGGCTCACTGCAACCTTAACCTTCTGGGCTCAAGCAATCCTCCCACCTCAGCCTCCTAAGTGGCTGGGACTACAGGTGCATGCCACCATACCTAGCTAATTTTGTTCATTTTTTTGTAGACACAAGATCTCACTATGTTGCCCAGGCTCATCTTGAACTCCTGGGCTCAAGGGATCCTTCTGCCTCGGCTTCCCAAAGTGTTGAGATTATAAGTGTGAGCCACCAAGCCCAGTCTAGAATGTAACATAGATTAGCCATCATGGACTTATGCCTTTCCTAGACTTTTAAAATTTAGGATAAGAATGACCTATTCAATATAGTAATTAAATTTTCGTCATGTTTACATTTGGTGCTGTCAGTGTTTTTAATTTTTTAGTCATTCTAGTGGGTGTATAATTAAACTTGAATTTTTAATTTGTCCCATAACACTAAAAAGTAAATTACTCACAGACTTTAGAATTTTTTTTTTTCTTTTCCTAATAGATTGGGTCTTACTTTGTTGCCGAAGTTGGAGTGCAGTGATGTGATCCTAGCTCATGACAGCTCAAACTCCTAGACTCAAGCAGTCCTCCCACATCAGCCTTCCTAGTAGCTGGGACTATAGGCATGCACCACTGTGCCTGATTTTTAAATTTTTTTGTAGAGACAGGATCTTACTTTGTTACTCCTGGCTTCAGGCAGTCCTCCTGCCTCAGCCTTCCAAAGTGCTTGGATTCCAGGTGTGAGCCACTGTGCCCAGCCTGGAATAATTTTTTTTTTTTGAGACGGAGTCTCACTCTGTTGCTCAGGCTGGAATGCAGTGGCACAATCTCAGCTCACTGCAAGCTCCGCCTCCCGGGTTCACACCATTCTCCTGTCTCAGCCTCCCGAGTAGCTGGGATTACAGGCGCACGCCACCACACCTGGCTAATTTTGTTTTTTGTATTTTTTAGTAGAGACAGGGTTTCACCGTGTTAGCCAGGATGGTCTCGATCTCCTGACCTCGTGATCCGCCTGCCTTGGCCTCCCAAGAATAATTTTTAATGACAAATTATATGCAACATACTACACCATTGATTCAAACAAACCAATGTGTTATGAAACCGTCACTGAGGATTTTTTATATAGTACATGTTGTAAAATGCCTTTTTAAAAGTTTGCTTTTGTTCTGATCTCTTATATTTTGCTTTCATTATAGTTTTCAATTATAGAACATAACCATGAAAGGAGACATGCAAATGACCAGACTGTCATCTTTTCAGATGAAAACCAGATGGACCTGACATCAAGTCATACTGTAATGATTACCAAAGGCCTTTTAGATAATCCCAAAAGTGAAAAGTCCACCAAGATAGATACCACATCATTTCTAGCTAATTTAAAGCTTCACACTGAGGACTCAAGAATGAAAAAAGAAGTAAATTTTTCCATGGATCAAAGCACTTCCTCAGAAAATAAAATAAATTTCAATGATTTCATAAAGAGATTGAAAACAGGAAAATGTAATGCTTTTCCTAATGGGCCTGATAAAGAAAATTTTGAGATACCTGTTTATTCCAATGAATCAAATAGTGCCTCTTCTATACATCAAATGCATATATCTCTTAATAAAGATGAGAATAACAGTAATGTTACTAGAATCTTTAGAGAAAAAGATGATGGGATGAATTTCACCCAGTGTCATACAGCCAATATTCAGACATTGATTCCCACATCCAGTGAGACCAACTCACGGGAATCTAAAGGTAATGATATTACAATTTATGGCAATGACTTTATGGACTTGACATTTAACCACACTATACAGATTTTACCTGCAACAAATAATTTTTCTGAAATAGAAAATCAAACTCAGAATGCCATGGATGTAACAACAGGTTATGGAACTAAAGCTTCAGGAAGTAAAATAAATTTTAAGAGTAAACAAAATGCTGCTTTTCAAGACCCTTCCATAAACCCTGCAGACAAAATACATATTACCGGAAGTCATATGGGGGCAGAAACTCACATAGTCTCACAGACTTGTAATCAAGATGCCAGAATATTAGCCATGACCCCAGAATCTGTATGTTCTAATCCACGTATTCAAGGTTGTAAGACAGTTTTCTATTCTAGTTGTAATGATGCCATGGAAATGACCAAATGTCTCTCAAATATGAGAGAGGAGAAAAATTTGCTAAAGCATGACAGTAATTATTCTAAAATGTATTGCAATCCAGATGCTATGTCTTGTCTCACAGAGAAAACTATGTATTCCGGAGAGGAGAACATGGACATTACCAAGAGTCATACAGTTGCAATAGATAATCAGATTTTTAAACAAGATCAATCAAATGTGCAAATAGCAGCTGTACCAACACCTGAAAAAGAAATGATGCTCCAAAATCATATGACCACATCAGAAGATGGGAAAATGAATGTAAATTGTAACTCACTTCCTCATATATCTAAGGAAAGAATACAGCAGAGCCTGTCAAATCCTTTATCTATTTCATTGACTGATAGAAAGACTGAACTCTTAGCAGGTGAAGATATGGATTTGACTGAAAGTCACACAAGTAACTTAGGAAGTCAAGTTCCTCTTGCAACTTATAATCTAGCACCGGAGAATACCAGTGAATCTCACTCTCACAACAAAAGCTCTTCAGATGAATGTGAAGAAATGACCAAAAGTCATAATGAACCATTTCAACGGCCAGACATGATAACCAAAAACAGCTTAACTGATATCTGGAACAAAGACAAAGATCGGGTTTTGAAGGTTTTGCTCTACCTTGATAAAGATTCTCCTCAGTCAGCTGATTGTAATCAGGAGATAGCAACAAGCCATAATGTAGTCTACTGTGGTGGAGTTCTTGATAAACAAGTAGCTAATAGAAATACAGTTTCATGTGAACAATCTTTGTTTTCTACCACAAAGCCATTATTTTCATCAGGACAATCCTCTATGAAAAATCATGATACTACTGTAAGTAGTCATACAGTGAAATCTGTACTAGGCCACAATTCTAAACTGGCTGGGCCACTGAGGAAAGGTTTAAGCAATCCCACACCTGACTGTTGCCATGACAAGACGATTATATGTTCAGAGGAAGAGCAAAATATGGATCTAACAAAGAGCCACACCGTTGTCATTGGATTTGGTCCTTCTGAACTACAAGAACTTGGTAAAACTAATTTAGAACACACTACTAACCAGCTAACAACAACGAGCAGGCAGATAGCTGTGAAAGTTGAAAAATGTGGTAAAAGTCCCACAGAAAAAAGTGGAGTACTTAAATCTAACTGTATTATGGATGTGTTAGAGGACGAAAGTATACAGAAACCTAAATTTCCAAAGGAAAAGCAAAATGTCAGAATTTGGGGAAGGAAAAGTGTTGGCGGACCAAAAATTGATAAGACTATTATATTTTCAGAAGATGTTAAGAATGATACGGATATCACTAAGAGTTATACAGTAGAAATAAACCATAGACCTTTATTAGAGAAACACGATTGTCATTTGGTGCCATTGGCAGGAACTTCTGAAACTATTTTATATACATGTGGGCAGGATGACATGGAGATCACTAGAAGTCACACAACTGCCTTAGAATGTAAAACTGTCTCACCAGATGAAATAACTACTAGGCCTATGGACAAAACTGTAGTGTTTGTAGATAATCATGATGAACTAGAAATGACAAAGTCCCGTACTGTTTTCATTGATTACCAAGAACAGGAAAGAACAGACCGACCTAACTTTGAACTATCCCAAAGGAAAAGCCTAGGAACACCAAAAGTGATATGTACTCCTACTGAGGAGAGTGTTTTCTTTCCAGAAAATGGTGAAAGTGACCGTCTAGTAGCAAATGACAGCCAGCTAACACCTCTGGAGGAATGGTCTAATAATAGGGGCCCTGTAGAGGTAGCTGATAACACGGAATTGTCTAAATCAGCCACTTGGAAAAACATCAAAGCTGTACAAAATTCTGGATTTCTCAATGAACCTCTATCAGGCAAAAGTCAGAGAAGAAAAAGCCTTAAGCTAAAAAATGACAAGACGATTGTATTTTCAGAGAATGATAAAAATGATATGGATATTACCCAGAGTTGTATGGTGGCAATAGGTAACAAAAGTGCCCTGGAGAATAAAGAGGACTTCCATTTGGTGCCTTTTGCAGGGGCTTCTAAAACTATTTTGTATTCATGTGGGCAGGATGACATGGAGGTCACTAGGAGTCACACAACTGCCTTAGAATGTAAAACTGTCCCGTCAAATGAAATAGCTGTTAGGCCCTTGGACAAAACTCTGTTATTCACAGATAATTACAATGATCTGGAAGTCACCAATTCTGATACTGTTTTCATTGACTGTCAAGCCGCAGAGAAAATACCTGAAGAGAACCCTAAATTTGGAATAGCAAAAGGAAAAAACTTGGGTGTTTCCTTTCCTAAGGATAATAGCTGTGTTCAAGAAATTGCTGGAAAACAAGCACTGGCTGTAGGAAACAAAATTGTTCACAGTGAGCAAAAGCAACAACTCTTTGCTTCTACTAATAAAACTAATGAAATCGTCAAATTCCATAATGCTGCTATGGATGAAAAGGTCATAGGGAAAGTTGTAGAACAGGCCTGTACATTGGAAAAAGCCCAAATTGAAAGCTGTCGGTTAAATAATAGAGATAGAAGAAATGTGGGCTTTACAAGCAGTCATGCAACTGCTATTTGTGGATCCAGTGATAATTATTCCTGTTTACCAAATGTTATTTCCTATACTGATATTTTGGAGGGTAGTGCCATGCCCTTATGTGATAAAGATGAGGAAAAAGCCAATAATTGCCCAGTGCAAAATGACCGTGCTTATGCAAATGATTTTGCCAGTGAATATTACTTGGAATCTGAGGGACAGCATCTCTCTGCTCCTTGTCCTTTGTTAAAGAAGGAAGAAGTTATTCAAACCAGTAACAAAGGACAGTTAGACTGTGTCATAACACTGCACAAAGATCAAGATCTGATTAAGGAGCCACGAAATCTATTGGCTAATCAAACTTTAGTATATAGTCAGGATCTGGGGGAGATGACTAAACTTAATTCAAAGCGAATATCTTTTAAGCTTCAAAAGGATCAAATGAAAGTCTTTGTTGATGATATTTGTGTTATTTCTCAGCCTCATTTCTCAACTGACCAACCTCCATTACCTAAAAAAGGACAGAGTAGTATCAATAAAGATGAAGTGATACTGTCTAAAGCTGAAAATAAGAGTTTAAATATTATAGGAAATTCCTCTGCACCCATATGTGAAAAGCCCAAAATGCTCAATAATGAGAAGTGGTTTGCTGCAGCCTGTAAAAAAGAACTGAAGGAAAATATTCGAACAACTAACTATAATACAGCTCTGGATTTCCACAGTAACTCAGACTTAACTAAGCAAGTCATACAAACTCATGTCAATGCTGAAGAAGCACCAGATCCTGTAATTACATCTAATGTTCCATGTTTTCATAGTATCAAACCAAATCTGAATAATTTGAATGGAAAAACTGAAGAGTTCTTAGCTTTTCAAACTGTTCATATACCACCCCTTCCAAAGCAATTACTTGAATTAGGAAATAAGGCACACAATGATATGAGTATAGTGCAAGCTACAGAAATACGTAATATTAACATAATCTCCAGCAATGCTAAAGATAGTAGAGATGAAGAAAATAAAAAGTCTCATAATGGAGCTGAAACCACCTGTCTACCATCAAAGACAATTTTTAAAGATAAAGTAAGGAGATGTTCTTTAGGAATCTTTTTGCCTAGATTGCCAAACAAGAGAAATTGTAGTGTCACTGGTATTGATGACCTGGAACAGATTCCAGCAGACACAACTGATTTAAATCACTTAGAAATTCAGCCAGTCTCCAGCAAAGATTCAGGCATTGGATCTGTTGCAGCTAAAGTGAACCTAAGTCCTTCTCAATATATAAATGAGGAAAATCTTCCTATATATCCTGATGAGATCAATTCTTCAGACTCTATTAACATAGAAACTGAGGAAAAGGCTTTGATTGAGACATACCAAAAAGATATTTCACCATATGAAAATAAAATGGAAAAAACTTGCAATAGCCAAAAAAGAATGTGGGTACAAGAAGAAGAAGATATTCATAAGGAGAAAAAAATCAGAAAAAATGAGATTAACTTTAGTGATACTACACAAGATCGGGAGGTGAGCTCTGTCCTGAACCAAGGAATGTTCTTGAGTTTTGGGTTTTGTTTTTTTAAATTGTGGGTATTCTTGAATTTTAATCTTAGTCTTGGGCAAGCAGAAAATGATTATTTCCACTTACAGGGCTGGAGAAGTATTATGTAGAACCTTAAGGAATTAATTGACTAACAGCTAGACTTCAAAGCAATTTAAAGTGACAAATAGTCACAAAAAAATAAATGGAAAATTGTTCAAAAAGTAGCCAGAGTTATGATTGTATAATTTCAAAAGGTAAATATTGTCACCTCTAGTGATTTGTCAATTTGGCTTTATATAAGAATCTCTAGGGAGGGTATATATAGCTTGAAAAGTCATCTTCAGTGGAGTTATATTTGGGGAGTAAAAAGCCTTTCTATTTTGCCAGCTGCATGAAGTAAAGCTTGACTGAATTTTCTTGGCTGATAAGGATATGTAGAAGTTGAGAGTCCATTTTCCTTATTTTTTAATTTAATTTTTATTTTGATTTTGATTTTATTTTTGCGACGGAGTCTTGCTCTGTTGCCCAGGCTGGAGTGCAGTGGTGCGATCTCTGCTCACTGCAGCCTCCGCTTTCTGGGTTCAAGTGATTCTCCTGCCTCAGCCTTCCGAGTAGCTGGGATTGCAGGCGCCTGGCACCACATCCAGCTAATTTCTTTTTTTTTTTTGTATTTTTAGTAGAGATGGGGTTTCCTCATGTTGGCCAGGCTGATTTCGAACTCCTCAGATCAAGTGATCTGCCTGCCTCAGCCTCCCAAAGTGCTGGGATTACAAGTGTGAACCATTGCACCCAGACTTAGAGAGTCTATTTCTTTAGTGAGTAAGAGAATGCCTAGGTCATTTTGTATTAATTGAAAGACGACACATTTTTTTAAGTCAAGTACTATTTGGATAACTTGGGGAGAACAAAATCTGTCACTTAGACCAAATTTTGTAGGCGGAGAAATAAAGATTAGGAAGTATCAGAGTTTCATAGAAAACAAAGCTTCAACTCTGTTAAAAAGATAAGCATAGGAGGTGATTTCAGTGGCTCTGTAAGATAATGTCATGCGATGGCTAGTCATGAAATTATGAAAAAGTAGCAATGTAAAATTTAACAGGAGCTTTTATGAAAATTAACATTCTATTTTCTTTTTTTGAGATGGACTTTTGCTTTTGTCACCCAGGCTGGAGTGCAATAGTATAGTCTTGGCTTGCTACAACCTCTGCCTTCTGGGTTCAAGGATTTTCCTGCCTCAGCCTCCTGAATAGCTGGGATTACAGGCGCCTGCCATCATGCCTGGCTATTTTTTGTATTTTCAGTAGAGACAGGATTTCGCCATGTTGGCCAGTCTGGTCCTGAACTCCTAACCTCAGGTGATCCACCCACCTTGGCCTGCCAAAGTCCTGATATTACAGGAGTGAGCCACCTCGCCCGGCTAGTTTTTTGTATTTTTTAGTAGAGACGGGGTTTCACCGTGTTAGCCAGGATGGTCTCGATCTCCTGACCTACGTGATCCCACCCGTCTCGGGCCCTCCCAAAGTTTTTTTTTTTTTTTGAGATGGAGTTTCTCTCTGTCACCCAGGCTGGAGTGCAGTGGCATGATCTCGGCTCACTGCAACCTTGGCCTCCTGGGTCCAAGTGATTCTCCTGCCTCAGCCTCCCAAGTAGCTGGGATTACAGGCATGCACCAACACGCCTAGCTAATTTTGTACTTTTAGTAGAGATGGGGTTTCACCATGTTGATCAGGCTGGTCTCAAACTCCTGACTGCAAGTGATCCACTTACCTCGGCCTCCCAAAGTGCTGGGATTACAGGCGTGAGCCACCGCGCCCAGCCAGGCACTGTTTTATGTGCTGGGAATGCAGACAAAAATCTGCTCTCATGGAGCTTACATAATAGTATTTATTCATTTATTTATTTTTGAGAGAAGGCCTTGCTCTGTCGCCCAGGTTGGATTGCAGTGGAGTGAACTCAGCCCACTGCATCCTCCATCTCCCTGGTTGAAGTGATTCTCATGTCTCAGCCTCCCAAGTAGCTGGGAGTACGGGTGCACACCACAACACCCTGCTAATTTTTGTGTTTTTAGTAGAGATGAAGTTTCACCACGTTGGCCAGCCTGGTCTCAAACTCCTGGCCTCAAGTGACCTACCTACCTCGACCTCCCAGACCGCGGGGATTACAGGCATGAGCCACCGCAGCCCATAATGGCGTTTATTTATTTATTATTATTTTTGTTGTGTTTTGAGATCGAGTCTTGCTCTGTTGCCCAGGCTGGAGTGCAGTGGTGTGATTTTAGCTCACCGCAAGCTCTCCCTCCCAGGTTCAAGTGATTCTCCTCCCTCAGCCTCCTCAGTAGCTGGGATTACAGGCATGTGCCACCACACCCGGCTAATTTTTGTGTTTTCAGTAGAGATGGGGTTTCACAATGTTGGCCAGGCTGGTCTTAAACTCCTGACCTCAAGTGATCTGCCTTCCTTAGCCTCCCAAAATGCTGGGGTTACAGGCGTGAGCCACTGTGCCCAGCCCCCTTAGTAGCATTTAGATAAAATAATATATTGTTTTGAGCCGGGCACGGTAGCTCATGCCTGTAATCCCAGCACTTTGGGTGGCCAAGGCAGGTGGATCACAAGGTCAGGAGATCGAGACCATCCTGGCCAACACGATGAAACCCCGTCTCTACTAAAAATACAAAAAATTAGCCATACGTGGTGGCGGGTGCCTGTAGTCCCAGCTACTCGGGAGGCTGAGGCAGGAGAATGGCATGATCCCAGGAGGTGGAGCTTGCAGTGAGCCAAGATTGCGCCAGTGCACTCCAGCCTGGGTGACAGAGTGAGACACTTCCTCAAAAAAAAAAAAAAAAGTTGTTTTCAAAAAGCATATAAGAAGGTAGATGAAGATGGCATTTAAAGCTGTGAAGTCAAATGGTTAAAATAGTAAAAGCAGGACCACATAACTTATTCAGCTAAAGAATTCTTGGTCAGCTGGAGAGGAAAGTAGAAAAGCCTGGAAATAAGTTTATCTGGACTCTAGCCAGGGCCACCACATTCAGCCAATATTCTAGTCTGGTTTTCTGCAGTGTGGTTGCCCTGTTATTGGTGGCTAGTAGTTGAATAATTGGATAGGTGAACATTTGGTAGCTTACGGGATCTGGTTTTGTTTTTTTTTTTTCCCAGGCTGGAGTGCAGTGGCCGGATCTCAGCTCACTACAAGCTCCGCCTCCCGGGTTCACGCCATTCTCCTGCCTCAGCCTCCCGAGTAGCTGGGACTACAGGCGCCCGCCACCTCGCCCGGCTAGTTTTTTGTATTTTTTAGTAGAGACGGGGTTTCACCGTGTTAGCCAGGATGGTCTCGATCTCCTGACCTCGTGATCCGCCCGTCTCGGCCTCCCAAAGTGCTGGGATTACAGGCTTGAGCCACCGCACCCGGCCGGGATCTGGTTTTAACTTAGGTACATAATGAGAAATAATTTGCGTACACAGTATAATCCATAGAATTATATTCAATAAAATTACTTTTAACTCTAATTAGGCTTAAGATGCTTGTTACTTGTTCTAATTCTTTACTAAGATATTTCATATGAATTATAGATACATTGTATGTTAGAAGTAGTATTTATGTTAGTGTTCATCGTAAGTGTACAGTATATGTTTTATTTTGATGATATTCCTTAATTGACAATTTCAGATTTTTGATCACCATGCTGAAGAGGATATAGATAAAAGTGCTAACAGCGTATTGACAAAAAACCTGAGCAGGACCCCATCTAGTTGCAGCAGCTCTCTGGATTCAGTCAAGGCTGATGGGACCTGTCTGGACTTCAGCAGTAAGAGCTTCATGAAGGCTAAATAATAGCAGCCTTCTGCTTACTTGACTAATAATAAGTAGTTTTCAGTTCAGGAAATATTTGAATGTTGTATACGCCTTTCTGGGATTATAAAAAGTTGATCAGTAAAATAATATTTAGTTTATTTTTATTTCTTAGTTATTGTAATGCACTGAGAAGTGACATACTACAGGGAAATAGAGTGATTTCCTTCATGGGCTTATAATTAGTGGAGAAACCCTGGAGCCTTAAAGCTATAATATGCTTTGCTGTGCTACATTACTGTCTTCCCAGAAAGATCCCAGTGGGTGGCTTCAGGATCAGAAACAATCTGAATGATAACCACAGTTAAGTTTACAGTTCAGTTTTGACTTGTTCATCACCAGAATTTGCTTTACTTCTAGCTTACCGCAGTAGTCAAATGGAATCACAGTTTCTCAGAGATACTATTTGTGAAGAGAGCTTGAGGGAGGTATGTTAAAATTATTTTTCTTTTTTTTAATTTATAAAGAAAAGTTTAAACATCTCATTTCTAATACATGTAATATTCTTGGTTTTAAATTTTGTTTTAATTACGAAATACTTCAAATATACAGAAGACTACTTTTCTTAAAGATCCAACATAGCAATTAATTAAATGGAGTAGAAGTCACGATTAAAAGGTAATTTGTTTTGGCTGGGCATGGTGGTGCATGCCTGTAATCCCAGCAACATGGGAGCCTGAGGCAAGAGAATCACTTGAGCCCAGGAGTTCAAGGCTGCAGTGAGCCATGATCACACAACTGTACCCCAGGCTGGGTGACAGAGCAAGACCTTGTCTCAAAAAGAGAGAAAAAAAGATGTATGTTTTGGGTTTTGGGATTTTTAAAACTCTATTGTTTTTCAATAACCTTAAGAAATAATCTTAGATAAAATCTGCTCATGTATAGCCTGCATATATCTGGATAATATTTCCATAAATGTATACAATATACTTTAAGCTTTTAGAAACAAATGAGGTGGTTATATCAAAGTGAGATCACATCGAATGGTCGTGTGAACTTTTTTTTTTCTTTTCTCAGAAACTCCAAGATGGGAGAATAACAATAAGGGAGTTCTTTATACTTCTCCAGGTCCACATCTTGATACAGAAACCCCGACAGAGCAATCTCCCAGGCAATGTAAGTGCAGTTTCTTGGCAAATTGGTTATCTTAGTTAAAATATGTTGCACTTTTTACTAAACTGCATCAAAGCAAACATTTATTTAAAAGCACAAGAAAAATGGAAGAGAGCAAATTTTCCTATAGAGAGTTTGCTTTTTTTTTTGAGATGGAGTCTCGCTCTGTTGCGCAGGCTGGAGTGCAGCGGCATGATCTTGGCTCACTGCAACCTCTGCCTCCTGGGTTCAAGTGATTCTCTTGCCTCAGCCTCCTGAGTAGCTGAGACTACAGGCACGTGCCACCACGCCCAGCTAATTTTTGTATTTTTGTAGAGACAGGGTTTCATTGTATTGGCCAGCCTGGTCTTGAACTCCTGACCTCGTGATCCGCCCACCTCAGCCTCCCAAAGTGCTGGGATTACAAGTGTGAGCCACCATGCCCGGCCAAGAGTTTTCTTATAGTAGAGAGATTTGTTATTAGCATAAACAAAAAACAAAAATTTTCACATGAATTTTTTTATCATGGATTTTGATAAGATAAAATTTGAATTTTCCCTTCTTTCCTTGCCATCTATTTTTTTGATACATTTTCCTGATTACAAAACTGAATGTGCTTTTTCCTCCATTATAAAAATCTAAGGGTAGCAGAGGTTTTTAATGAACAGTTTTCAAAATCAAAAATACGTAAACTGGATAAAAATCATAAATATTTGAATAATACAATCAACAAACTCAATTTAAAAGATTAATAGAAAAACTTATATTCCTTACATAGGAATATTTTTTCTCTTTTTTTTTTTTTGAGACGGAGTCTCACTGTGTCACCCAGGCTGGAGTGCAGTGGCGCGATCTCGGCTCACTACAAGCTCCGCCTCCCGGGTTCACGCCATTCTCCTGCCTCAGCCTCCCGAGTAGCTGGGACTACAGGCGCCCGCCACCTCGCCCGGCTAGTTTTTTGTATTTTTTAGTAGAGACGGGGTTTCACCGTGTTAGCCAGGATGGTCTCGATCTCCTGACCTCGTGATCCACCCGCCTCGGCCTCCCAAAGTGCTGGGATTACAGGCTTGAGCCACCGCGCCCGGCCTTTTTCTCTTAAGTCTATCAAACATTTCCAAAAGTTAGTTATACTCTTGGCCACAAAGAAAACATTAATAAATTTTGGCCGGGAGAATCACTTGAACCAGGGAGATGGAGGCTATGGTGAGCTGAGATTGCGCCACTGCATTCCAGCCTGAGCAACAGAGTGAGACCTTGTCTCAAAATTATCAATTCTTGTTTTCTCTCTACCTAACCCTCCATTTCCCCTGCCCCCCATTATTGTGATGCAAATCCCAAGCATCATCAATCAATCTATAAGTATTTCAGTATGTATTCCCTACATACTGAATACATTTCCTTACATACTGAATACATTTCCCTACATACTGAATACATTTCAGTATGTATTCCCTTTTCCCTCTTCCCTCTTTTCTTCTTTTCTTTTTGGAGATGGAGTCTCGCTCTGTCACCCAGGCTGGAGTGCAGTGGCGTGATCTTGGCTCACTGTAACTTCTGCCTCCTGGGTTCAAGGTTCAGGCAATTCTCCTGCCTCAGTCTCCCGAGTAGCTGGGACTACAGGTGCATGCTGCCACGCCTGGCTACCTTTTTTGTATTTTTAGTAGAGACAGGGTTTCACTGTATTGCCCAGGCTGGTCTCGAACTCCTGAGCTCAGGCAATCTGCCTGCCTTGGCCTCCCAAAGTGTTGGGATTACAGGCGTGAGCCACCATGCCTGTCTGCCATTTCTTTTTTTTTTT